TGGGGTGGGGGGTAGGTTGGAGGTGGGGGAGAAGGAATGGGGGTAAGGGGAGGGAGAGGGAGAGGGAGAGGGGAATTACATGTGAAACAAGCCTGTTCCCTAACTTGAATTAATAATAATAAAAAGAGAGAAAAAAAAAAGAATTATGCTGTTCTCCATCCCCCAGGCCTGCTCCTGCGGGAGCCAAGCATCCTCAGCCTCCATCCATCACCCAAGGCCCTTCTATCAAGTTTGGAAATACTGCTTTCATGAAGACTGCCTTATCTAGACTTTCTGCTCTTCAGAATCCCCATACTCCTTCCAGGTGACTTCAAAACACATGGATGTGCTCTCTTGTTTTTCTGTACTCCCAGACTCTTTCAGCCCTTATATTAACTTCTTATAAAACTAAAGGTCTCCTGATGAATAGAACTCCTTCACCAGACTGCTGGAGTAATCTTGGTTCCTATATTGCTTTCTAAACAAATGTGTTTAATTATTTCAAAGAAATGGTACCATACAGATGAAATAATTCTGGCTATGAAGCTGAAAGTGCTAATCCCTATTCTCGGTTGCTGCATTCACTAGTTCTTTGATCTTAGCTGACTTGTTAGCACATTCCTAGTGTTTGTGTGGTGTGTGTGTATGTGTGTGTGTGTGTGTGCGCGCGTGCGCGAGAGTGTGTGTGGTATTGTGGTGTATATGTATGTACATGGTGTGGTGTGTGTGTATATGTATGCATATATGTATTATATAGTGTGTGTATGTGTGTGGTGTGTGTGTATATTTTCTCTATAAAATGTAGCATGACACGGGTGACTTATTTAGGACCAATCTCCTTGCTGCCTTCAATTTCCATTTCCTGGGTGCCCCATGACTGTGTAATTGATTTTCCATTTGTCCACAGCTGGCTCGTTCACTTGCACTTTGTTCACATCCTTTGCAAGGACTGAGGTGGCCAATTAACCATGTCAATTACTTTAGTCCACGTTGACTTGTTAGCTTCCCTGCCTGATATTCAGCAACCACGCCCACTTAGAAAACTCTCCAAAACCCATTGAAAGAATGCTGGTGGGTTTTCTAGACTACTATCCTTCTGCAAAGAAGTGTATATTGTGATACATGTGCTGTCTGAGAACAGTCTCGAATAGTCAGAATGCATATACAGTAGTGGCAAATCTCCAGTCTGGTATCTGAGAAATGATATCAGATCAAGCACAGAGAAAACTTGCCAAATCTCCCTTCATCCCACACTGTCCAGGGCAAGGGTCTGCTGATGTTTTATTAGTGGGTCTTCCTAGAAATGTATGTGACATGCCTTCAGTATCTGACCCTCCTGAGTCTTAAAGACCATTAAATTAATGCACTGACTCCAAGTTGGACATTGAGAAGAAAAATGCACTTGCTATAATAATGCATTCTAGCTGGGTGTGGTGGTACCTACCTATAGTCCCAGCTCTATGGGAGGCTGAGTCAGGAGGATCGGAAGGGCCCAAAATCAGCACCAGTCTGGACAACAAGGAAAGATCCCATTTCAGACAAAACAAAACAAGGGCCAGTGAGATGGCTCAGGGGTTAAACATACTTGCCTCCAAATCTGACAACCTGAGTTCAACTCCCAAGAACCATGTGGTAGGAGAGGACCATCTCTCACAAGTTGTCATTTGGTCTATACACATGTAGATGAAAGACAGACAGACAGACAGATGCCATATTTAACTAAATAAAAATTTGAAAGTGTTCATCTACAGCAAGTTTTCAGATCAGACCAGCATGTGCCTCAGACCTGAATGATTGCCTACTTATCTAATATACTGGTTTGTACAGTGACTGTTTCCAAGTTTTAAAAGTTTGATTCTAACCTTTTCAAACCTGTTCCGCTCTGGATCACTTGGTCCTTGTAGAAGAAACTAGACCAATTGTTTTCTCAAAATAATATCACACTATATAAAAAGACACTTCTGGATCCCTGTCTTAAAGGAATGAATCTCATGGCTCAAATGTTCAAAGTTTAGCAGTTCCTCTATGGATAACTTTTAAATCACAAGTTCCCCAGTCATTTACATGGATTGGCTGATGAATTGGATAAAGTATCAAGGGTATTCATGGAGACACGGCACACATCCTTCCTGGGATCAGAGAAGATTCCAGTCTAAAGGCTTGGAACTTTGGTTTGTATGCATCATGAAGACATACTCCAAAGAATGAAAAATCTAAGTCAGGAGATCTTGGATGGGCTACATGAATGCCATGGAACAAGTTCACAGATCCCACCTGAAAAGCAAGGCCAGAAAGGCTAAGGACAGAGGAATGCGGGATCATAATGGAAGGCAGAGCTTTGAACAACTCAACCAGACTACATCAGAGCAAAACTATCACACTTCAAGACTAATGACTTCCTGGGTAGTTTTGTTCTTTACTGGAAATAACTTTTAAAGGGAATATTTTCTGCATGATTTTTTTTTCTATTTTCTGTCCATTCTTGTTTGCTTGGGTTTTGGCTGAGCTGGCAATGGCAGTGGTGGTGGCAGGTCATGGTGGTTGGTTGGCTTTTAACTTTTTGCTTTCCTTGTTTTTATTTTTGAGACAGCTTTCTCTGTGTAATCCAGACAGGAGGCAAAACCATGATCCTCTTACCTCAGGCCCACAGTACTGGGATTCCCATCACACACCACCATGCCCAGCTCTGCAGCATTTGTTCTTATCTGGAAGAGGGGAGGAGGGAAGTGGTTTCTCTGGCTAGCTATACCTAAGGTTAAGCCTGAACTGCAGGCTTTGCTCAACTACTCCCAAACGTGCGCGTGCACACCTGTACACACACACACCAGAAGCTGGAGACAGGCCCTCTACGACACCAGGAGTGACAGAAAGCCAGCGTCTCAGCTCACTCTAGACTTCTGGGAAACACAGCGGCACCAAGTGGATAGTTCAGAATTTCCCGTATGGTAAACAGAGCAAGTTCTAAGGTGACTGAGGGATATACAGTTCCTTGCTGCCTCTGGTTTCTATCCCTAGTAATTGTGACCATCAGAACAAAGTTGGGCCTTGGGTAGCAAGCTATACCCAAAGAGAAAAGCAAAGGTGAAAGCTACAGCAATTAGTGAATGTGTCTGCACAGGTGTGGGTTTGCAGGTATAGTTTTGGGTTTCTGACTGGATTCTGCTCTTTTCCTATAATAATGCTGGTTAAATCTACAGGTTGGAATCCATTGGTGAGTAATAAAATCATAGGTCAGAACCATGCTGTATCAAAAGTGCCATGGACAGGATTACAAAGTAGCTCAAAGAATTATTTCATGAAACTTCTCAGTAGTGTGTGTGTGTGTGTGTGTGTGTGTGTGTGTGTGTGTGTGTGTGCATGTGTGCATGTATGTGTGTAGTATGTGTGTGTTGTATACATATGTATGTGGGGGGTCATACGTAAATGTGTGCATATGTGGAGGAATATTTGTGTATATAGGGAGATTGTGTGTATATGTGTGTGTGTGTGTGTGCTGGGTGTTCATATGTGTGTGGACCTGTGTATGTGTGCATATGCGTACCTGTGTGTGCATGACTCTGTGTGTGGTTATGTTATAAAGTATATATCTTGCCAGTTGTGATGACAAAACTATGAAAAAATGCTGCTATAGTTTCTGATAGAAAAAGGGTGTTAGTTTTGCCTTTATGAGTTTCTATTTTTGCTGTGTTCTCCTGGCATCTGGTTGCCTTCACTAGATGAAGTCAGAATAAATAAAGTGGCCTTTTCAGATCGTCATTGATCTATTGTATGTTTCTCATATTCATGTAATACAGTTAATAAATAAATTTTAAGTTCTTTGTGGTCACACGTCATATTAACAGACCACATTAATCTACATTCCATTGCTCCGTGAACACACGGGATGCTGAGCTGGGCTTTAAGCACTCATTTCCAAGTCACAAGAGCACCACCTGCTGGTGAAATGCTTACTTAGACAGGGGCGTGTTAAGAATCAACGAAGACAATACCAATTTTTCTAGCCAAAAAATGCTTAAACTGCAACCACATTACAAATATATTGAAATTTTGCCGCGTTTCTAACTTCATTTGATTCTTCTGGTAAGAGTCTTCGGTTACTTAGCAGCTAAAAGGACTGTGAACCCTTCCGGTTCTCCTGTAAGCTGCGCGGGTTTCAAGTTTCAGCCCCTCCTTGAATTCCAGTCTGCTGAGACTCCCAGAAGCATCCAAAATGGAGCCCTTCGCTGCCTACCCACTGAAATGTTCCGGCTCCAAAGCAAAAGTATTTGCCGTGTTGCTGTCTATGGTTCTGTGCACCGTGATGCTTTTCCTCCTACAATTAAAGTTCCTGAAACCGAGAATCAACAGCTTCTATTCCTTTGAAGTGAAAGATGCCAAAGGAAAGATCGTGTCTCTGGAAAAGTTCAAAGGCAAAGTAAGTTTGGGGATTTTTATTTCTGTTGTTCCTCGGCCTTGATACTACTTCTTTCGGTAGAGTTCATTACAGTCGTAAATTGGAATGCAGTCTTCAAAGCAATGTCGTTAGCTGTCCTTTTAGTTATCAGAGTTCTAAGCGCTTTTAACGTCCAACCCATAAAGCGACTATTTTTCTCTAAAGTTGCTTTCATTTGTGTGCGGACCTGATGCTGTGATCTAGAAGATGCTGTGTGGCTACGGCAAGATCGGCTAATAAAAGTGTTAGTTACGTAATCTACGTAATTTAAGTGTAGCGGTTTAGCCCATTCATCTGGGTTACGGTTTTTAATAGAGTTGGATCTGTTTAAAAATATGGAATCTATCAGAGGTTGTGTTCTTCCCAATGGTTTAGGATTTTAACTGCCTGAAGGATTTTTTTTTTTTTTTAATCTTTTGCTTCTCTTTCCGGTGGGTTTTTTTTTTTCTTTTTCCGGGAGGCTTCCCTAGTTGTAAACGTGGCTAGTGACTGCCGGTACACCGACAAAAGTTACTTGACCCTCAAGGAGCTGCACAAGGAGTTTGGGCCCTATCACTTCAACGTCCTGGCTTTCCCATGCAATCAGTTTGGAGAATCGGAGCCCAGGTCCAGCACGGAGGTAGAATCTTTTGCAAGAAGAAACTACGGAGTCACATTTCCCATCTTCCACAAGATTAAGATTTTAGGGCCCGAAGCAGAACCTGCATTTAGATTTCTTGTTGGTAAATATCTACCCCTGTCTCGATGTTTTTCATTCCTTTTCTCTTCATATATTATACATACATGTGATAGAAAAAAAATATATAGACAGATCAGGACCATAGTTTCTATTTCTTTTAAAATATTTTACTGGGAAAACTTCATAAAACCTCATTCTTGCAACTTTCTAGAAGTTATACATGCCTGAAATCGGCGTTTTAATTTCTTAAATGGTAAAGAATTCTACGGTGATATGCTTTTATTCCTTAGACATTCGAGTTGAAGACCTATGTGAGGCGAGGCCACAACTGCTCTATCATCATCTACTTAGTCTTTGGGGCAGTAGCCCCACCCCTAACTAAAGCTTCATGAGTATCTGTGGCTGAGTATCATTAACTGAGTATATCTTTATGTTTAATTTATGGTGCTCTTTTTATCTGAGACATTATTCTCAAGGTTGACCTGTTTTACCGGCATTTTGCTGAAATTCAAAGCAAAATACCATGCTTATTTCGGACTTATTTCAGAAGTCAGTCGTGTGAGCTTCCCTCTATAATTAAGCTAGCCATAGTCATCTATTTAAAGCACGAGTAACACAGCGAACAGGAACCCGTGGCTTTTCTTTCTGGGTATAGAAGGAAAGGTAGAGCAGGAGCTCTTGAGAGCTCCAAATATAATCTAAACAGGACTCTATAAAAAAAAAAAAAAAAAAAAAAAAAAAAAAAAAAACACTGTGACCCCCAACTCACAGAACCAAAAAGGCAACAGTGTGTGAGGTTGTGCAATGAACTTAGACCGGGGAGAAGGGGTAGGAAAACCCAGAGGTCAAGTCCACTGATTCTGGAAGGAGGTGCAGATCTGCCTCTACCACTGACTGGTTACTCAGTCTCAAGTTCAGGCCCTCCATTTTTCTCATATGCAAAATGTGGGAGAAAATAATGCCCCTCTATTGGGGTTGCCAGGAGCACTGAACTTATTGAATCCATTTGAACACTAAACTAGACAAAGAGTAAGGGCTTATTTTAGTTTTAGTTACTGTACCTTTTCCATGAGACACATTTGCATTTATGTATATGAGTGGTTTCCCTGCATGTATGTATTTGTACATGTGTGCCTGGTGCCCAGGGAGACCAGAAGAGGGCATCAAATCACCTAAAACTGGAGTCACACAGTTGTAGTTGCTGTCACCTGTAATTGCTGGGAATCGAACCTGGGTCCTCTGCAAGACTAGTACTTAGTCTTAACCAATGAACCATCTCTCCAAACTACTTACTGTATCTTTTTCTCATATTCACCAATATTAGGGACACAGATCCAAAATGACATAAATGAAAAAGTCTACATTTATTACATAAAGATTTAGCAAAAGAATGTCATAATTTCTCAAAGTGATCATTTCAAATCCCTTGCCATTTTCAGATGTATAATCAATAACAATATTTAAACATTATTTCATTAAATGTGAAAAATCAATTTATACCTTCCTATTTCCAAAGAACTTTATATTTTAGAAATGTTAAAGACAGACTGGATATGGGCCACAAACCCCCTAATCCCAGTACTGGGAAGGTGGAGGCTTAGAGGATTAAGAGTTCAAGGTTAGCTTTGGCTTCATAGTGAGTTCAAGGTTAGTCTAGGCTATGTAGTGAATTTCAGGCCAGCCTGGGCTATACAAACATTGAGAACTAAATATTAAACTTGTTACGTTTTGCTGGGCTTGGTAGCATTCACCCACCTGTTAATCCCAGGATCCAAGAGGCTCAGTCAGAAGGGTGACAAGTTCAAGTCTAGCTTAGGCTACAAAGCAAAAAAAAAAAAAAAAAAAAGTGTTTACATCAACAAATCTAAACTATATGTCCTGACTCTATATCAGTACAGCCATCTATAAAGCCAAGAATAGTGAAATCTGGTTATTGAATCCTTGAGCTCTGCTTTGTGTGCTTGTTTTATTTTGTTCATCATAGTATGACAATCCTAGAACCTGATTCTAATATTGTCACATATGCAGATGTAATAAAACTGAAAATCTTGACAAAGAATAAAAATAATGAAAACATATTCTGAAAATTTTAGATTCTTCCAAGAAGGAACCAATGTGGAACTTTTGGAAGTATCTGGTCAACCCTGAGGGACAAGTTGTGAAGTTCTGGAGGCCAGAAGAGCCCCTTGAAGCCATCAGACCTCACGTATCACAAATGGTTGGGCAAATGATTCTTAAAAAGAAAGAGGACCTATGAAAATGTCACAGTTAGTCCAGCACAACTGAACAGAAGAATGACCCTGGAGGATTCGGCCTCCTTTTAGGTTTTGACAAATATGGTACTAAAAGATTTTTTAAGGCCATCTCACTATTCTGTTGCAATGGATGTCCGCAAAATAGAAATGTTACCCAAACAGTAAAAAAAGAAAGGAAAGGGGAAGCTAAGAATCATGATGAAGTATATTGCTTTATCTGACCCGAAGGAACAATTTAGAAAGTTCAGTCACCAATATGCTTCAGTTTCCTGTTGTAACTTTCTCTAGGGTTGACCCTTATGGGAAAACTAATGTCCAAGGTCACTATGTGAAATGAAGAACACTGTGTGGGTGACATTTTTGAAGTAACTAACTGTAAGTGACTACATGTATGTAATAAAAGATAAAATTAATGTTGCAAAATATAAAATGCTTTTTTTTTCTTCAAGACTGGGTTTCTCTGTGTGGCTCTGGTTATCCTGGAACTCACTCTGTTGACCAGGCTGGCCTGTTTTTGCCTCCTGAATGCTAGGATTAAAGATGTGAGCCACTGCACCCTCCAAAGTGCAGACTTTCAAATCATTAACATATGTTTCTTTCACACACAGGTTTTTATTTGATTTTTTTAATATAGGTTTAAATGTTTTATTGGATCTGGCCAAATTGTTGCTTCTAAATGATTTGAAAACAGCATCATTTTCAGCCCCTCCATGTGATTCTTCTAGGATCAATTAAATTACATAATTAGTATGTTAGAATCGAGATTAGCCTTTAATTTTGAATAAAATCTGCCAAGTATAGGAAAAAAGACACAAGTATATGATCATTTCACCTGATTTCTTACAGGTTGATTTTGGCTGCTAATAGACTATATTGGCCATTTGAGGAGACTTTAATTCTGATACTCAAAACCATAAACACCTTCAGAGAGTCAAAACTCCAATGCAAAGATGATTGCAATCATATAAATTCTCAAATTCTAAAACCCGAACCTTTTGCAGAGATATTTGTGTGTTTTCTACCATAGCCAGGATCTTTGTGTTGTCAGCCTCGTAAGGAGCAAAGTGACCTGCCCAGTTGGCAAAGGTGAATTCCTACCCTGTGAAATGCTTTGTCATTGCATAAAAGAATTACATTCAGGACTGATATTTGTGTGTGGGAATACAGCCATTTACAGTTTGGCAGAGGAAGATAGGTGATTCTGTTTAGACCCTATGAAGGCAAGAGAAGGTATCTTTGTGGTGAGTTCAGTAATGCCACCACACTATACTAACAGTCTCAAAGAAACAAAACACATTCCCTGTGGCACTGCCTTCTGCTTCAAAGTGTATTTCTAGCCATATGGCTACTTATGTGTTTAGTGAGCTCTCTGGAATAGGTAGGAGTGCGGTGCCCATTAGAGGTGGCAAGTCTTGCAGTAATAGCCTTGGGAACGCTGGATTTGGGTGCCAGCAAATCTGGACACGTCTCACCAGCTGTATGACTTCTGGCAGGTCCCTAACTACTGTTAGCATCAGTCCCCTTACCTGTGAAGTGGAGGTCAAATGGAGCAAAAGGCCTTCCTGATTCTATCAAATGACATACTCACCATGGAAGCAACTAGAATTAACCTGGATTGTTGTCAGTGAAAAAGAAGCCATTGAAGTCTACCTGTCTTTGTAATTTACCCCAATGGCCTGTTAGCAATCTAAATTCTGGTTCTCTAGGACAATTTGACCAGGGTTCCCTCCCAGTGTTGCTTCCCAAGCACTATTGCCATGTACTCCAACTCGTGTCTTCACAGAGCACCAAAGCAGGAAGCATTTGCACATGCTCTCATCAGGCATGTGGACAGAACTGAGCCGGCTAGCAGCACACAGGCAATACAGACGCCACACTGCCAGGTGAATGGTCAATTGAACAGTGACCTTGACTGTCCCAGTGGGTGTGATTTATGTCCTCATCACTTCTCCCCAAAATAAAAGCTTTCTCTCCAGGTCTGGTTGCCTAATCCAACCCATGACCTTGACAGTAGCCAGTCTCCCCTTGCAAGATGGCAGGCAGGTAAGGCTATGAAAGCTCTGTGAATGACCTGGACAGGAACTCGAGTCCATTTAGAGTTCCCCAACACTCAGCTGATAAGCCCTGAAGATAGAGAAGAGCTGTTTGCCTGTGTACTCATAACTCAGTGGTCACACTTATCCTTCCTAACTGGAGCACTGCTCCCCAAGTACAGACCACTGAAGGATGCGGAATTGTGTAAAAAGGTAGTTAGCTGTCATCTTCAATGAAAAATAAAGGTAATTGCATGTACCTTCAATGAGTTGAGTAATTCATTGACTAAATTTTGTTTTGGTTTTATTTGAAGGGTACAAAGGAATACTCTATACAAACTTATCACCTATTCATGACACACAAAACAGTAGAAAACATTGGGACTGAAATTAATATAAATTTTTACCTCTTTCTTTTTTGAGACAGGGTTTCTCTGTAGCTTTGGAGGCTGTCCTGTAACTCACTCTGTAGACCAGGCTGGCATCAAACTCACAGAAAATTTCACCTCTTAATGCATAACAATTATAGTGCATCTATAACATGTGTATATATATTTATTTTGTAAGAAATAAACTGAGTAATTTTATATGTAGCTTGATATAGATGAATACCTTATATGTGTATATATAGCAACAGGCTCTCTGGAAAAGGAATCCTGACTTGCAGATGCATAATTTCATAGCCTAAATGTTCTCATGTGACCAATGTCAATCTACCAATGGCTTAGTGCCTAGCTTGCATATTTTCTGAAATTGTAATCATTGCATCAATCAGCGGGAGATGGCTCCAGTAAACAAAAGTCACTAAAAACAGATTTGATAAAGGTGTCATAAGGTGGGCTGGAGAGATGGTTCAGAGGTTAAGAACACATGGTGACTCATAACCATGTATAATGAGATCTGATGGCCTCTTCTGGCATGCAGGCAGAATACTGTATATCTAATAATCTTAAAAAAAAAAAAAAGTGTCATAGGGCTCCCCAAGGAGAAAAGTCTACATTTCAAATGTATCAAATATGCTTTTCTTATTATAAATGAGCTCTTTTGAGAGGGTACATAGATGTGTGGGCATGTGTGCAGTTTCTGAATTATGAAATGCTGTGTAATCACAGTGAAGACTGTTGGCCTAACAACACTGTCTATAGATAACCTCAAGTAGGAAAATATGCTAATAAAAGAAAAGGGGTAGAGTAGGAGAAGAGGGAAGAAAGAGATGAGGCAGAAAGGAGGAGGAGGAAAGGAAAGGAGAAGAGAGGGAACCCAAGAAGGAAACCAAATACAGTATTCTGTTTTATTTTTAAATATTAACTGTATTTTAAAAGTCTGCCTTGTGTAAGTGGAATCCCTGAGTGATCCCAATACAAAATATGCTAATAGTGTTTCTTTGAAAGAAAAATGACCTGCCTGCATAGAGTTGGTAAAGGGACACTGTCCATATTTAGTCCTCACACTGACTTGCAATAAAATTCTATTGTTTTGCCTACAAATGAATCCATCCAACTCTTCGCTTCCTCCTCCCAGACACAGCTAAGGGATTATCCTTGGGGGTTGGGGTAAACAGAAGCTAGAAGCAAGGAATTGGGAAGCTGCCTGGGCTAGCAATGGGACACAGCTCCACCCCACCCCCCACCCCCCACTGTGAACAGCACAGTAGCTTTCCCACAGGCCACGGAGTCTGCTTCTAACTCCGGCTGATAGTTCCCTGTACTGCTTCCTTCACTCCCCCGTGTATATCCCTCCCTTTCACTCACAGGGTTCCTTCACTTTCCTTCTTGTACCCTCTTTCACTCACACCCCCACAGAACCATTACATTTAGTAGTTCACCTTTTTTCACTTACGTTTTTTCTTTGCATTTGGTTTGGTTTGGTTGGGGGAGGGGAGTGTTTGTTTCCTTTTGTCTGCCTGCCTGCCTGTCTGTCTGTCTATTTAAATGGGAGTCTCATAAAACCCAGACAGCAGACTGGCCTCAAACCATCTGTTATGTAGCCAAGGCTGCCCTTAAACTCCTGTAGCTCCTGTTTCCACCTCCTGTGTTGGGATTACAGGTGCAGTCTGCCATGCCTGGTCTCTTATTTTTTTTAATGTATTTCTTCATTTTTTCCTTATTCTCAGATCTCATTTCCTTATATTGATTTCACTCCATTCCTTTCCTCCTTTCTCATCAGCTCAGTAAGCAAAACTAAAGAACAGCTTTAAATACATGTGCTTGTATAGGGCCCTGTGTTACATCCCCAGCACTCCAAGTACATCCAGGAGTATTGAGTACAGATATGGATGGTTTCAGCACTTGCTCTTCAATTAGAAAAATAAAACACAAAGCCTTCTAAATTTAGCAGATTTTATTTTTATTGACAGGTCAGTAACTAAAGAAAAAATGCTCAAATTTAAATTTTTTTTAAAGATGAAAACGTGATAGATCAAAGTGCTGAGAAGTGATTGCTGAGTACTCAGCTCTAAGGGAACATTTATATGACATTACACATATATATGCATAATATGTATAGTATATAAGCCCACATCTATTTCAACCCCTACACGACTCCAGGGACATCATTGAAAAGGGCAGAAGGAATGCAAGCCAGAGGACAAGGAAGAGTACTGAGACACACTCTCTTCTGCTCCACAAGTCAAATGGCCTCCCACAGAATGCAGACGTATTTTAAATAGTATCTGTGGTCAGGTCTTCCCTCTTCATGAACTAGATCTCATCTTCTTCCAATTATTGTAAACCAATATGCAGTATTGTCCACAAAATAGGAGAACTGAGTTAAGTCTTCCAAATAATTCAGCTCATCCCCCACATGCCCAAAATATCCCAAATTTTCTAGATACTTCAAGTAAAATGTTATTGTTTGTGGCTCATTTTAAAAATTAACTCAACCCTCCCCCTTCACTTGGTGTACACACAAGGTGGGTCATGGAGACCCACTCTATTGTCATGTTATGAAACTGATGGTCCCAGAAGGATGTAAAGATTTAGTTGAAAACCTGAACAAAACACGAGGCTTTCTATTATAGCCTAAATCTTGTATTCAAAAGACAAACGCATAACTTTAAAAATGCTTTAATCAAGCCAGGACTCCAAAACTAATGAATTTTTAAAAGTAATTATAGTGCTTTCATTACTATAAAATCTTTCCATTGTACTATAAATCACCCAAGAATAATAAAAGCTGTTATCATAAACAGTGCCCTTCTTCACGGCAAAGCAAACACATGGATTATAAATGTAACAGCATTCTCACGTTGACTGTATGTGCGACAGGATAGCAGTTGCATGTTAGCTGGTGCCTTTCACATATTCAACCAGCTAACAATACACTGCCAACCCGTCACACACAGGTGGGCCAGTGCACTTCATTAACATGAAGAATCTATCCAGAAGCAAGTGGCAGGGTGGCTGTGGCTGCTGAC